GTCGCCTCCCCTGCCGCTGGCGGCGCAGCCATGCCCCCCAGCTGCCAGGGGCATACGCTGTTCATAATGAGAGTCTCTGCTGTCTGATACTATAATATGTATACGTATGTGAAAGTTTATGTGTAACTATACTGAATTAAGTTCACATCTGTAATAGAAGTTACTTCTATTATCTGCAGTGATGCAGTAACTTTAAAAAATTGGTCTGAATATCACGATTTGCAAATAGATTTTCTTCTAGAGTAATGGCAACTGATTTTTAGCTCTATATACCACTGAGTTCTCTATTTATCAGATTCTCTGATATCAGAAAACATTACGAGTAGCTATGTTGAAGGGTTACGGCTGAGATGTTTCCATGTGAGAGTGCTCAGTCTGTCCTGAGTTCTTTGCATTTTTCAGTTGCTGTTGGGGCTTCTGCAGTCCTCTAAATCACTGAATATATGGAAAGCTTAGCTACCACTTACCCATGTATAGGATCCCATCCGAACTGCGACAAGGCGATGCCTGCACCAGCTCAGGGATGGTGAATGGAAGTTTCTAGGAAAAAAAGGCAAAAGTTCATTTTTACTCTCTGAATTGAGTGCAATTTTTCTCCGTTTTGGGGACAGCAGACCCCATTTAGTGGCTTCTCACTATCTTGTTATTATTTCTTTGTATCACTATAATTCTTAAGAGCACTCAACCTTGGACCAAGAGCTCACTATCTATGCTCGATTCTGCACAAACCAAGAACAAAACAGGCCCCTGCCCCAGTATGGTTACAGTCCAAGAGAACTGCAAGAGGAATGGAAAAAAAATTTCCAGTGCAGAGGCCTGGAGGCCCAGACTTCTGAATACTAAGTATTTTAACTGCTCAGTTTGTAAATGGGTATACAATCCTTCCCTACCATGCAGGGCATATGTTAAAATTTGCAAGGTCCCATGGAAATTAAGCTATTAAGGAGGCACATATCACACCTACCTACTGGAACCACAACCAAAACTGATTTTGAGAGGCTTTCCTCAGGAAGAGAAAAATTACAAACTAAGAGGAACACTGCACAAATACAGGAGAGACTGGGACTCTATGCACCAACACTGTGTCCTTCTTGCTGTATAAAACTAGAAAGTTTATACCTGCGTTCACAATGCAGGGGAGGAGATTAACAGGTATAAGGTAATAGCAAGTTAAGGACAAGATGCCACTTAGCTCTCCCTACAAAGAGGATTAAAAATAATTCCACAACTACAGATTGCTTATCTGGGTGCATTAGGAAAAAGCTTGTCAGAAAAGATTTCTTTGGTTAAAAAAATTTCAAAATGTTAGAGAGTTCTAAAAGGCCAGAAAAAGAAACTCATGGCAAGCCAAACATTTTATCTGCATTTCATCACAAAGCAGTTTCAGTTAGTTAAATGTTCAGCTAACATCTGTAGATGCCTCGGTGACTATTTTGATATGGTTGACATTTTAACCTGATTATAAAAATCACCTTCTATCCAAGTCAGCCCACAATCCCTAGTTCTCCTGGTTTGGTTGGATTTCTTGACAGGATTGTTAAGCATTTTGGGGGTTTTCCAGGCCATAAATGACTGTACTGTATGGATGCATGAAACTCCCAAGTTGCTTCAAGGAATACTATCTCTTGAGGGCCTCAGAAGGTATTATAGCCCTTATTATATTAGCAAGTGTTACAAAAATATCAAAAATGGGCCAAACAGATGTCTCTCTTGTTGATCTCAAGATAATGATCCCAAGGAAGGCCAGGAATTTTGTCTCAGAGGAGTCTTCAGAGGAGTCTGACCCCCTCTGAAGCCAGCCAACAACGCAACTGGGGTGTTGTCATTCCAGGAATCTGTATCCAAAAACTGGCGTCAGCATTGCGCAGTGCTAATACAAACGGGCTTTTCCAAGAAATACATGTGTTCCTGTAAGCAGCACAAATTATCGGCGGCCTGCTGAATTATACAAGAGTGTCAGAAAAGTGGGAATTTCCTCTGGTCACCAGCTCCATGCAATCTGATTAGCAGAGGGGAGAATTTCCAAACCATACTTACAGTCAAGCCTTCGTTATTCTTGCCACCAAGGGTATACAAACTGCCATCGTTCGGGTCTGGAAGAAATGCCGGCCTAGGAATAATGTATCTCTTTTAAATAATAAACCAACAGCTTGCACTTGCCAGCAAACAGAAAGGAACAATGCCTCCTGGAAAAGGAGCCCTTTTGACATTGGCTTACTGACTGTATTATCAAGTTTTTGGAGACATGACCTATTAATTAGGCTTTTAAAGAACAGTAACAATCAAAGAAAAGGCATTTCAGAACTGGCAGAGCGTGTAACCTACACTACTTGCAGTATTGTTCCTAGTCCAGCTGAGTCTGGGCTGACCTGCATACATACAATGCATACAGCCATTTAGAGATCACAGTTCACTCCTTATTTTGAGACTAGCCTGAACGGCTTATCTCAGTCCCCACCCCCAAACTACCCTATGGCTAGTGCTCCTTTGCAAAAACCATCTTCCACTTTATAAGTGGAGGTTTTTACCCCGGGTACCTCAGAGCTGAGACATGTACAAGACCAAATCAATTTTTTTTGTGTTGGACAGGAGCTGTAAGGCTGGAGTAGCCATGCAAAGCAAAGCAGCTCATTTTGCACGTGACAGCATCACTCGGAGCAAAGGACTTTATTTTTCTGAGACTGCCAATGAGCTCAGAAGTCAACGTTATGAATAGGTGAAGTATGATCTTCAGGGAGTGTTAACACTTTGAAGCAAGACTTATCTCCAGTACTACACAATGTAAGGCAAGCAGAAAAGGAAAGGAAGCCTAGAAAAGGAGCAAAAGTACCACCACTCAGTAAACGTGGGGGGGGAGGGGAAAAATTGCATCAATGTTTTCATTTCACTTCAATGGGGAGAGCAACTGGGACCAGCGCGTCCAAGCGATACGTCTTACATGGAATAGTAAGAGGAGTTGCTTTTTAGTGCCAGCTTGGGGGTGCAGCACTTAGATATGCTCTTGCTTGGGGTTCCCTCTGCTTTTTATGGCATATTAATAAAAATATTTAAAACCAGTGAATCTGGAGATAGTTTCCCACAAGTTCTGCTGTTTGCAAGGCAGCTCAGGTCAGTAACTCAAGACGCGGCACAGCCAAGCTGCTCAGGCTCCAAACCTCAGTGTTTTGGAGAAAAATGGTAAGAGGGAAAGATGCTCCATCTACAAATAGGGGAAGCGACATATCTGACTGTCCATTTAATATCTGCTTTTTCAACTGCCTCACGTCTGCTTCCTTGGGGTATTTCATCCGATCCCTGTTTTAGAAAATATATGGGAATGGGTATAAACTAAGCCAGACTTCATGCTGTCAGTGTAAAGCAAACCAAGCAATAAAAGGAAAGAAGCAAGCAGGGTGACTTACTCTTCCACATGTATTGGCATTTGGAGCACAGGATCTGCACAAACAGAACAAGCAGTGTCAGTGTGCACACGGTGCAATGGCATACCCTCACCCCAGCAACAAAAAACCTGAGCCAGCACAGCCTTTGCTGTTTTGCCAGCCAGGTGCATTCAAGGAAGCCAGGCAGGTGGAGCTATGACCGAACTGGATTTGTACACAGCAGCCGATAGCCTGCACTGACCTCGCAGCAAAAACAAGATGTGTTATTTGCTATGTACCTCTACAGGGCAGCAGGGCAGTTTTACAGCTGCAAGTTACTTTTCCACTCAACCCCATCCACATGCCTCCACTCCCAACTTGACCTCCCCTCCCCTCAATGAGAGTGGACTTGGCAGCACTACACTGTATGTTGCACCTTATAGCCATGCAAGGACAACTTAGGGTGCAAAAACCACCTCTGGTTTCACAGGCAAGTTCCTTAGCCACTGCTCACAGGCTGCCCAGGAGGAGGCTGTTCAACGCTCCCAGGAAGTCACTGCGATAGGCCTTGGCAGTCCATTTTATTTAAACACTTGCTACTGTTAATTGGTATTTACAGAGTATATGGAGACAGAGGAGAATGAAAATCTTGTCTGAATGCAAGAAGGCCTGCCTGATGTCTCTTTCTTCTCTGTTTTATGGCCACTCCTTACTTTCTAGCTCACCAGGCCGGCAAGCATATGCCTTCTTAGCCAACCTTACACTCAATTTATGATGCAAGATGCAAGCTCTGAACCTGGTTCTCCCTCTATTGAAATCAGCAGGAACGCTGCCAAGGACTTAAACAAGGGCAAGATTGTGATCTCAGCCAGAAAGGCTGCTTTCACGTTCTGCTCCATGCTGCTCTATGCCATACAATGGAGAAGAATTTAACATTAATCCAAAATGTGACAGAAAAGCCACAAACTGTAAACCAACCTTCATATCTGCCTGCAATACAAAGGATTCTCCAAAAATGTAAGGGAAAAATTAATTTAAATGATTTCCCCAGTGAAACTTTCCCAGGCATCCATTCTCAGCACTGCCAGCTCACAATTTTAATGCAAGTTTCACTACACCTAGCTTTTCTTCAGGGCCTGAATTCACGCAGTTACCTGAGAATTTCTACCCACCTTGACAAAAAAGGTCGTTTCTAGTTTTCACAGCTGTAAACAAAAGCCTGACAACATGAATCATCTTAAAGGTTCACAGGCCCCAAAGGCAAATAAAACAGTCTTGACATTTATTTTGAGAAAAAATTCTTACGATTTTTAGGCCAACGTAATGCTATTTTGGGACCCGACTCCTGAGTTTTGAATGCTCAGGCTTGGTAAAACCAGTAGCAACACAACCCAGACATATCTAAGGTGGAAGACTTGCTCCTGCATGCAGCGTCTGCGAGAGGCGCTGTACAAGGTACGTATGCTCCACCCTTGTTTGGAAGTACTGTATACTGAGGGAAAGAAACCAGCAGGTCCTTGCTCCTCACAGATAAGAGCATTAAAATAAGAATGAGTACAGGAAACAAAGGAAAGATGATCAAACAAGCTAATGCAATAAGTGACTTGTGTTTATTTTTTCCAACTAGTCCCCTCCACACACGTGCACAAACAAAATGATGCAAGAACAGGGAAATGGGGACAGGGCACAAACATTCCTTATGAGAGACTCTGGACTGGGAAGCTGGCCCGGTTTGGGACAGTTCAAATGCAGAGCAGTATTAGCAGAGCTCTGCGAGATGAAGACAAGGCCGGCTGGATTCTGGTCATCCCGGAAATCAAGGAGTCCCCTCCCTTATCTGTATATTGCATCATACACATTGCTACATGACTAACAGAATCAAAGGGCTGGAAGGGATTTCAACAGTCACTGGGGTCCAACCCCCTGCACAAATCAGGAACGCTCAACCCTAATACCTTTTTAGACTAATGCCATTCTTATTTTCATCAGTTTTATATATTTGATCAAATCAACAAAGCCAAAAATGGGCCAAAAAACCCCCGCAGCTGTCTAGCAGCCTCGCAGCTGCAAACAGGAGCAACCAGAAAATGCACTGGCAATGTTGGAGACAGATAAGATGTGAATAATATCAGCAGAGCGCTGTCCTTCAACTTTTGTCTTTCATTCTAACATGTCTTCTCTCACAATACACACCCTAGAGCAGCTTAGTTAAAATTGCAACTGGAGCCAAGGTTCGATATCCCTTTCAAACCCTAAACATTGATGGTGCAGGTATCTCCTTCAAGCAGCAGATCAAACAATTTAGTTAAAAGCATCTAAATCTTCTAGGAGAAACTCAGCTCACGAGTGAAAAGGCAGCACTCAGTGATGATGTTCTGCAGTGTTACAGATTTGTCACTCAGGGAGGTTACAACCATGGTAGGATTTGGCCGGTGCTGCCTAGTCGTATTAGGATGATGCCGATTTTGATCAATCATTTGCTTGATAATAAAATGCCATAGGTGTTCTGGGTAGTTGGGGCAGTACTGGATAAGATCTAAGATTAGAGATGTCAGTATAATATGGTGCTGTATCAGATTCATCACAGCTGCATGTGCTACAACAAAGATCCCAAAAGGCTTCAAAGGCCTTTAAAAGAAAGGAGCTACCCAAAGCCTGGTTCTGTGCCCCTCTCAGACTGGCCTGCTTAGTCATAGCTATATATTCCACCCAACTACAGATTACAACAAACCACAATAACTCATTTCCACCTTCTGGGTGGAGAAAACAGCCTGAAGCTTTGTGGGGAAGGAAAAGCATGCTATGTTTTACCAGGCAGAGCTGCAACCTCAGTTCTCAGAGTCTGCTCCTCTTAGGTGCCCTGTGATTTGCAAGATTTCCATCTAACATAACACGCAGCACTGACTTACAAGATCAGCTCTTCACTGAAGAGGGGTCTGAGAAGCCTAGAAGGCTGGTTACAGAACGTGGCTCAGCTTAGGGAAGCAGGGCTTGGCAACCTGTGGCCCACAGAACCACTGGAACCAGCCTTCAGCTGTAGGGTTTCAATGGCATTTGGCAGCAGACAGCTTTGCTTGTGGGCGCTCTACCCATGCTGCCAGAGACAAGTGATGGCCAGGTCCCAGCACTCATCTGCTTCTGTCTCGGGGCGAGTCATTCTGGTCCGCAGCCAGAAAGGGTTACCTATCCCCGATCTAAGTGCCCACACCAGTCAGGGTGAGAGAGAATAAAGGGAACAGGAGACAGGATCACCACAAACAGAGATATTTGTAATCATAATGACCTCCTGGGAAGGGAAAAACATTGGTATTTGGGGACACGACAGCACCATAAATCAGCAGAAAATAGAAAGTGCCTCTGCAAGTCAAACACTTGCCAAGCAACATACCAAGCAACTCTACACGTTCTCTCGATGAACTGATCATACACAGAAATTGTTTTTCATGTGGGAAGAAAAAAGCTGCCTTTGATGATTACCAAGATAGATTACATCAAATCTTCAACAACAGTGCCTGAGCAGGCCTTCCTACAGCCTTTTCTCTGAACGTCTCTTCCTCTGCGATCACTAATCATGATAACCCGCGCACTTGGGTTTGAAATCGTAACTGGAGGTACACTTTGTTTTTAAGTCAAAACAACAAGCAGCATGAAAAAACACTTTCTAAGCTAGTCCACAAAAGGCCTGAGATGACAATTTCTTGCCTGAGCTGTTACTTGCAATCTTTTCAGACATTCTAAGGTTTAAGGTTCTGACTATTCTCTAACTTAAATGACAGTGAGTGAGTGGTAAACCTATTGAAGACAACAGTATAAAACTAATGATATCTGAATCAACCCCCTAATTTTCTAATCCAACTATTTATTGATATACCACTGCACATTCTCAAAGCTCATCCCCAAGCTCACCTTTCATTCAAAAGTTGTTTTTATATCTTTAAAGTCAAAGTCCACCACTGCAAGTTCCTTTATACCTTGCTTCTAAAGACCTGCTGTGTTCCACAAATGTATTAGCATATGAGATGTATCAGTGATCACCCAGGAACACCGATCTGAACTGAAGAAACAGTCAAGCTTAGAGTCCATTTTTCACTGGATGTGCCTGGTCTGTCTGTGCCCTTAGCCAAACCGTCAGTCATGTTATCCTCCAGATACCCTTCCCAAAAACTACATTTTGAATAGAAGAAATTCAAGGACTAACAGTCCTTGAATTCAGCCATCTTCTGGTGCAGGTGTATACCATCTTCTTGGTATACACACTCGTTTCAGGTTCAAAGTGGAGCTCTGTCTCCTGTCTACTGCCTAAGAAATCTTAAACCAGGAATATTCTCTCCTTTTATCAACCCAGATGAGAGAAAGAAATCCAATGGTGAGAAATGTTGAGGAAGCTGTTAGCAAAGTGTTGCTCATCAATTATTTGTTCTCTTTGCTCAAGAAAGGGAAGACCCTGGCAATACCAGAAATCTAATGAATGCTTTCTCATTTTTCCTCTGAATCTTTCTGAGCATGTCTACATGTCACCATATGGCAATGTTAGTACTGCACCGCGTTTTAGTACTTGCTTGGGGGAAGTACTAAAACACGGTGCAGTAGGCACCCATACTGCGGCGTATGGGCGTTGCACGGTTAGATTCACTGGCTCTGTCACTGGTGATCATGTGTAGACCCACATGATCGCTGAGTTGCCATAGCGCGTCATATGGTGACGTGTAGACATGCCCTCTTGAACATCCCTAAAGGTGGGAAGAAAATCCTGTATTGCTATGAGAATAACAAACTCCATTCTTGTTTCAGACACTTTCTGGCACAGATGACATGATTGTGAGAAAGTGCTTCAGCTTTCCTTCCTGACATCTTATCTTCCTTGTCAGTCTTGAGGAAAGGGAAGCAGTGATTCCTTAAAAGCAAGAACGCCAGCTTTTACTTGCCCCCTAGTTATGTTAATGTGACTTAGCAATAGCTGTAATGAGAGGAATGGTGACATCAAACCAACCACTGCTCCTGTGAATGGCCTCCCATAACTCTGCCTAAGCGTACTATACAACCTGTGAGGAGCAGCAGCCTATGGATCAACCATAT